GTTTAACCATATCATCTAATGTGATAAGTTAAAATTTTCTTCCATCTTGAACAACCAACGATGATAATATTTTAATTAATCGTTAATATTAAAGAAATAATGACAACTATGTCTCATAAATATATATATATATATATATATATATATGTGTGTGTGTGTGTGTGTGTGTGTATTTGTGTGTGTGTGTGTGTGTGTGTAATATATATAAGTACTTATTTACATTTGTTCTAATTTTATCTTTTGTATTCACGATGTTCGCATGTCAACTGTTTTAAACGAGACAAAATAAACCCTATGTATTTCTTGGACCTCGTAGAGGTTTTCATAAAAAAAAAGAAAGTATTTCCAGATAGTATGACGTGTGACGTTTAACTTCGTTAACAGGATGTGATGCAACGATATACTGGCCAGATTATCCAGAAACGTCGGTTTATTTGTATTTCGGATGACGCAAGAACTATCTGCTGTCTATTTTTCTTCTTTTTTTTTTGTAAGTACTTCTTTCGAATAATCTTTTCATTTATAACGGTCGGTTCCTGGAAAAAGGTTTGAAATTGATAGTGAGTCAAAGCAAACTCAAGTTTCCCTTACAAAGTTCTCTTTCTCGTCATTGACGTTTTAATGACTAAGTAGTGTGAGAATGGAGTTCGGTTTGATGCTTTGAACGTTCAAATGCACTGTTCGGATTAGACAAAGTTTCAAGTTGACAACTTTAACGATTAGTCGTCGGTTCAATGCTATGTATTCTGCTAGCCGTCATCCGAAGAAGTACTTACTAGACAACCAGAAAACTCGGATACCAAGGTTCTCGTTTGAAACTAATGAGAATTCTCGTTAATCGATCGTTATTTCGATCGATGAATAATTTTTTTTTCTTTTTTTAATTCTTTTTTCTAATTTTTCTTACTTTTTTTTTTTTATTAAGTCCTAATTCGTATATTATGCTCATGTTGTTAACAATGGCGCGGATTTGATTTAACGAAAATAATAGAGAAATTGTTCAGAAATATTTTTAAAATAAAAATAAATTCGAAGAATTAAAGAGAAAGCTTGGACAAATATTTTCATGAACAAACATTAATGATCTTCGTATAAGCGCTTTAATTTAACGAACGATATATCTATATATTCGTATATTTTACGAATTCAAATTCAAATTGTCAGTAAATGCCATGAATGCAAACTGATTAAAGAGTGATTGGACTTTCAAAGAGTACACTATACAATTGTATAGTTGGAAATATATTGGCTAATAATATAGTAGCTAATAAGCTCTGAAATGTATTATTATGAAGTCACGTTAGAAGTCGTCTCTTTTCAATTGTGTATGATTTAACAAATAGGTTAATTGCTACTCTTTCATTTTCGTTATTACTATCCCTTTAATTGAACCTTCAACAATTAGTTGCTAATAAGGATCTTACTTCTATCAATGACTTTGACAATAAATAAATTATTGTAAAAATTGTTTCTTTAATATTAAAATATTATTATAATAATATTACTGAGAGAAACCATATTTAGAGGATATAAAAATTAACGAAATAAATAATTATGAAACTGTAAGCAGTCGCGAAAATGTCTCGGTCAGCAAACTTTCTTGACAGGGCTTATACACAAGCATCTTGTAACGAAGCCAAATGGGAACTGTGGAAGGAGATAAGCGAAACTACATTGCTCGTACAAACGCATGTACACACAAATATGAACACACCTGTATATACTATGTATATATCTATGTACATATATGTATATATATATATATATATATATATATATATATCTGACTTTCTACATGCGCATGCGCTCGTTCTATTATTAATAAACATTCGATCAAAATTGAGTATCGAATTAAAGACTGAAATAAATCACAATCGATTTTTAATTTTTTTATAGATTTCAAATTACGCTATCTAGGCCGAAAACGAGTTGTCGAGTAGTTCACTTTGTTCGAGACCTGGTTTGATGTGGTTACGAGAAATGAACAATTATCTTTGCAATTTTGTCAAAATTGCACAATTATTATATATCAAATCGTAATTAGCATAATCGTTGATACGATCGTTTATATATAAAACAACATGCTATTCCTTTGAAATAATTTATTTTAAATGCCCACCAGTTTTACGTTTTATGTATTATTCCCGTGTTACTTCGCCAATCGAGATATACGTATTTATCGTTAGTTCTTAATAAAGTTTGGTGAATAATACGGAATATAGTTAAATAGAAAGATAATGATGGTTCAAACAAGTGAGAAACAATTAGCGAATCACACAGTGGTTTCGAAACGTTATGTAAATGACTCTTTCTTTCTCTTTTTCTCTTTTAATCTCACTATATGTATATCCGCTTTTTTAAATTAAAAATATGAACTTACATTTACACGGAATACATAGGTTTTCTCGTTGTTACCGGCATCCTGTCATTGTCGTTTTGATTAAACAATAATGCACGCGTATGCTGTGCCATGCTGTTCAGCGACGCATATGCCGCATTATAGCTTTGTGGTTGCGTACCGCAAATTGATTGTTTGACATAATTTTGGTTGTTACACAGTACAAAACTTGTTTCATTATTTTATTACTTTTCATGTACGAGTATAATTTTAATCGTCATGATTTTGTAATAAAAACATAACGAAATGATTATACTTCTGTCTGAATGGAAGAGGCTCTCAGGCACTTATTATTTCATAACGTAAGAAAAAAATAATTCTCTGCCAATTTATATTTTGCATATCTGTGAAAACTGGTAGTTATAATGTATTAAAGAAAAAAAAAGATCCGTTTTATATCCCGAGTTTAAAACTTTGAAATAAAAAAAAATCAAAAATGATTATTATAATTGACTATGATAAGACAATAAAACTTATTATCAATGCAATGAGAATATTAATTTCGTGCATTCAAAAAAATAATCAAATCTAATAAATGTAATAATAAGTAGTCTATTATTTACATTAATGTTATTAAATAAACTGAAAAAATTAAAGTAGAAATGTAAAATATTCGAAAATTATTAATTTCAATCATTGAGAGCTAAACTCTCTGAAGTTTTGTTCATTGATGTTATAAAATTATTCTATCCTGATGAAGGTTAAGTACAATTATTGAAGAATGTTCATTCAATGCGTTAAATATGTTTCAAAGCAAGTAATGGTACTTTCCGTCTCACAATCGAACTATAAAATTTGATCTTTCAATGACACGGTACTCTTCTCTTAATAATACGATTCTCGAAGAGAGCGCGAGATTTTGGTGAAACAATGGCACGCTCAAATACTGAAGGACTCGCTTTCGATAATATCCATTGTTCATACGAAAATTCAATCGAAGAGACTGCCAATGGCGTCGCACAATCGGTTAGCTGGTGCTCGTATTCCGATAAAAAAGTAATGCATGAGTAACGAGCTAATAGAAATGTAAATCACGGTAAATTTAAAATTCAATTTAGGGAAAACTCTATGGATTCCATGAACGATAACAGTTTTAAGTCGTAAGTACGACTTCGATCGAAAGTAAATGTTTAGTTCGATATTTTTTTAACGTGACTCCAATCGTCGCAGTTCTATTATAGTTTTCCTTTTTTTTACGGATTTTTTCTTACCCAGATAGATCATTTAAATTTGCCCTTTTTCCTTGACGTCAAATGAAAACCTACAAATTTCAAATGGCTGTAGACGGCTTAAGATTTGAATGCATTAGGACGGAAAATCTCTTCATAAAAACATCAACCGATAATTAGCGTGATGAATTTGAGGCTTAACAAATTTATACCGACGCACTCATTTTTTTTCTTATGAATTATAACAATATATTAATAAAAGAATATGTCGATTCATATAAAAAAAAAAGAAAAGAAAAAACCGATGTAACAAAAAAAAAAATTGGCAATTTATCAAAATATTGGACGACATTTGATACATCGTACAAATTTTTAACGATGACATTCGTTCGCATCACGACGATAGTAAATTAATTAAAAATCCTGATTTAATTTAAGTAATCATTCGTAAAAATGACGTTCGTCAAAGTTAGCCATACAAAGGATACGACATCGGCGGTTAGGAGAAAATAATTGATATCGAAGTATCGCTATAGATACGTATTTGTAGTAATATGTACACATATATATATATCGTTATGCAGTCACGGCATAGTCAGCACAGATACGTTACAGTGAAGTTAGAGGAAGCGTTTCGAAATAACTCATAATTACAAGTTTGTTGCAGCCTCCAGTGTGTAAGCAAGTTTCAAACTGCATAGGTTAAAGGTCTACACGAAACATGGAACGTAGGAAATTTCACGGTAATTAGTCGGAAGGGTGGACCCCGCCAAAAGGTGAAGTTTCAGGGACACTCGTACGATCAAATAACTTGTCCAAGGAAAGTTATATCCGTTACTTAACGACTCGGTTCTCTAATAAAGTTTACGTTGAAACTATCTTGAAGAAATCATTGAAAAACAAGAATTACCTTCGATGCGATTAATTACCTCCTTCGAAATTTAATAGAAAGAACTTTTCCACTTTCTCTTAAACCTTCCAGTTCATAATCAAAAAATAAGGTTTGTTTCTACACTCGTTTCAAAATATATTTCCTTGAAACATCGTTCTTATATGGTTCGAAAGAACAGAAGGAAATAATTGGCCTTTAATCGATTGAAAATAATTAAATAAATAGTTACCATAGTTTATTGGAAAAAGTAGACAGTTAACTGATTAAGTGGAAATAATATAGAAATAATACCTATATTTAATAAATAATTTAAATATATATATATATATATATATATATATTTAGAGAGAGAGAGAGAGAGAGAGAGAGAGAGAGTCGCCGGTCTAGAAAGATACTACCAACGCTTATAAAACTTGTCCAGAATCCCTCGATAAAACAGCTCCGGCAGAAGGACGTATCGGCGCGCTAGCTAGCGAGATCTCTTGCATCCATGTCAGAGGTTACCACCCTTGCACCCTTCGATTACTACGGTGGGGTGCGAGTCGTAGGGAGAGGCCAGTCCAAGCTACGAACGTTTATCTCTCTTCTGCACGCGAGTCTTTTGATGAGTGCGTTATACGCGATCAACGCATCTTTCTCTTTTCCTTTTCTTTTCTCTTTTCTTCTTATTCTTATTCTTCTTTCTCTTTCCTTTTTTATTTTACTTCTTTTTATTAATTTATTTCTAGTTCAACCTTTTCCGATATTTCTTCCTCTCTTACCACCAACATTACCACCACCACGATTATCATCTCCCCCGTATTGTCAAGTTCGTGAAGATCTTATTGGTAGAAATTCAATGATCATTCGAACTAGATTTTTTCGAGATGCTTGAATGTCGACAGAGACGGCAAGAAAGGAAATGCACTTATTGACTAGCGTCTGCGCTCTCATATTGATCTGCAGCCCGGTCTGACATCGAGCGCACGAGTATACGGGTGGGACCTCGACAACGCCTTCCAAAAATGTATATTTTTTTGAGCTTTGCACGATTCATTCTTATATCGTCGATACTCTGCATCGGTAAGCGGCGAAATCCAATGTCAATGTTCGAATGAAAGTCTTATATTTTTAGAAAATTTTTTTAACGATTATTCCACATAAACGAGTCAAACCATTTCGTAGGTCTCTGCTCCGAAGATGAGGAGAGGTTGGTGCGAGATCTCTTTAGAGGCTACAACAAATTGATCAGACCGGTGCAAAATATGACAGAGAAGGTGCACGTCAAATTTGGACTCGCCTTCGTTCAGCTTATCAACGTGGTGGGTTTGATTATTTTTTCAAAATCGAAAGACGATTTTCTTTCCTTTCCTTTTCTTTCTTTTTCTCTTTCCTCTTTCGCTCGTTAAAGGACTTTCTTTTCTTTAAAGGATCAAAACTGGTAAGCATTGAAATGTTTTTGGATGAAACATTTGGCTAACGGCACAATGAAATATTATTTTCAGAATGAGAAAAATCAGATCATGAAATCGAACGTATGGTTGAGATTCGTATGGATGGATTATCAATTGCAATGGGATGAAGCGGATTATGGTGGCATTGGAGTACTCAGGTTACCGCCCGATAAAGTATGGAAGCCGGATATAGTATTGTTCAACAAGTAAGTCCTACTATAAATATGTTTAGAAAGGCTTTAGAAAGCTTCTTTTCGGATTAACCTTCACCATGAAAATTGCTAAACCTACACATGTATATTATTAATAAATGTGTATATATACACATACATACGCGCACGTGCGCGCGCGCGTGTGTGTATGTGTATTCTGACAAATTGTGTATTTATGTTATTTCAGTGCCGATGGTAATTACGAGGTACGTTACAAAAGTAACGTTTTGATCTATCCGAATGGCGAAGTACTTTGGGTACCACCAGCGATCTACCAAAGTTCTTGCACAATTGACGTCACCTACTTTCCGTTTGATCAACAAACATGTATTATGAAGTTTGGTTCATGGACATTCAATGGCGATCAGGTATCCTTAGCCCTTTACAACGACAAAAGCTTTGTCGATCTCTCAGATTACTGGAAAAGTGGTACCTGGGATATAATCAGTGTACCAGCTTACTTGAATACCTACCAGGGCGAGTTACCAACCGAAACAGATATCACGTTCTACATCATAATACGACGAAAGACGCTTTTTTATACGGTGAATTTGATCTTGCCTACAGTTCTGATTTCCTTCCTTTGCGTCTTGGTCTTTTATTTACCCGCGGAAGCTGGTGAAAAGGTGACACTCGGTATAAGTATTCTCCTATCATTAGTTGTGTTTCTTTTGCTGGTTAGCAAAATTCTACCACCTACGTCTCTCGTATTACCGCTGATAGCCAAGTATCTTCTCTTTACTTTCATCATGAATACCGTTAGTATCCTGGTAACCGTGATCATTATAAATTGGAATTTCCGTGGGCCACGTACTCACAGGATGCCGCAAATGATACGAAAAGTTTTTCTGAAGTATCTACCAAAGTTTCTTTTGATGCGACGACCAAAGAAGACGCGTCTCAGATGGATGATGGAGAATCCAAGCGTAACTCTGCCAGCTTCGACTTATTCCGGTAGTCCTACGGAACTGCCAAAACATCTGCCATCCTCTTTAGCAAAGAGTAAGATGGAAGTAATGGAGTTATCCGATTTGCATCATCCAAATTGTAAGATCAATCGTAAGGTTCATCATACGACCAGTGGCTCGAGCGCAGCAGGTGCCGGTGAGGCTCTTGGCGATAGAAGGGGATCCGAAAGTTCGGATTCTGTTCTTCTAAGTCCTGAAGCAAGCAAAGCTACTGAGGCAGTTGAATTCATTGCTGAGCATCTTAGAAACGAAGATTTGTATATACAGGTGAGCCGATTATTCTTTTCTTCTACAATTATGATAGATTATGTTCTTTATTCAAACCTTTCATTTTTCTTCATTCCTTTTTTCTTTCTTTCTTTTTTTTAGACAAGGGAAGATTGGAAATACGTTGCGATGGTGATCGATCGATTACAGCTTTACACCTTCTTCATAGTCACCACAGCTGGTACTATAGGGATCCTAATGGATGCACCCCATATTTTCGAGTATGTGGACCAGGATCATATCATAGAGATTTATCGCGGGAAATAATCGCTTTATCCATTCTATCGTATATTATTCTTCGCCAAGTTTCGATGGTCATCAACGACGAAGAAAATTCTTTTTTACTATCAAATGCGTATTCGTTCGCTAAGATATTCCATCAAATATTTCCGGAACGTATGCGAAAATGCAAAATAATCATTTAACGGGTGTTCGCCTAATTCTCGTATGAACGATGGCATACGAACTCGCGATGTTACCGTTACGTTGAAACTACAAAACGAACATTCGTATTGTTTGTAAGGAGGTCCAAGAAATTTAATCGAGAGCGCTTTCTTGCATTTTTCTTTGCGAATGCCCTAAGAAGTCTTATTAAACAAAATGGCATTATTTATAGGTATATATATATATATATATATATATATATATATATATATATATTTATATGCCATATATATATACGGCGATTTTTTAATCATACGATCGCTTCATTTCTTTATGTTGATTATTTTAACGGTAATACAAAGATATATGTGATAGAGGCTTAAGAATCTGTTTTTCTTTCTTCTTTTTTTTAACGTTTCTAAAAGTTTAAGCAAAAATCCATTAATAATTTCTTAAATATTCGTTGATCATGGATCGAGAGCGAAAATACAGAATGTTGATCACAAAGAAAGACAATTTTCAACGAGAATAGAAAAATATCGTTAGAGCTATCGTAGTTGCCTCTACCGTTATCGTCTTCCCTAAACGCTACTGATCTATCACACGTTTCGTCCCGCGAACTTGAGGAATCGAATCAGAAGTAAAAACAAACAGCATTTGTTAATGTTTGTCTTGTCTTTCTCGATTGCGTCTGTTTTCGTCATTAAGAGTACACCACGAAACAAAAATGCATTGGTGGCTCGTCGTCAAAATATAATTTTGAAAATATATATTACAATAAGAATATAATATATAATATCTAACGATAAAATGATATACTTTCTCTGTCGTTGAACCAAACATGTCTAAATAATTTGCGCTTGAATTTTATTGCATCGATTTCATCATTATAAGAAAGAACGAGCGAAACTATAAAACGATATTTAATTAATTTCGACTCATACGTATATCGTAATGATGAAATCGTATCTGAACAAAATGAAACATAACTTTTGTCAAAGAGACGAGCCAAGAAAGACGAATGTTTTGGAAGTATTAATGTTCAGTGATTTATTGATAGAAATAGAAAGAAAAATAAATGGTGGACGTGAAGAGATCGATTGTATTATTCGTCGATAATGGGATTCTGTGCTAATCGAGACAGATCATACTAAATAGCTTTATAAACGCACACATTAGAAGCACAATGTCACGGCCCTGCGTACTTTCATTCGTTGTTAGAATATCGTACGTATTCGTACAGGCATCTACTATTCGTACATATAAACCGTAATAATTGCATCCATATTGTACAGAAAATTGTTAAACGGTCATGTTTTCTCTAATAGAATGTTCGTCCCTCGTAAAGAAAGAAAGAAATAAATAAAAATGAAAAAAGAAGAAAATAAAGAAGAAAAAGAAGAAGAAGAAGAATGAATGAATGAATGAAAAAGGAGAAGAAGAAGAAGAAAAAGAAATGTTCAAGTCGTTAATTTTATCGGATACGTTATTGCCTCTCTGGTGCCTCGAGATTTATCCCATCGTTATCGATATAGGAAAAGAAGAGATGAGAAATAAGTAAAACCGTTTGTAAATATATAGAGAGTGCTTCGTTTGATTCGCAGAAACGATAATTATTAGCGATTGTGATCGTTAATTTTATGCTTATCAACCATTAACGAGCCATCCTCGTAATTCCATTGTAAATGCCATTCCGTTTCTATTGTCGATCAATCAGAGCTATAATGAAATAATTTTTCGGCATGTGATTATTTCAGATGAAATAATTCATATATATATATATATATATATATATATGTATATATATATATATATATATGTATATATATATATATATATATATATATATATATATATATATATCGTATTACGGATTGAAGTCGTTTAAAAATCTTCGGAAGTTATTGAAAATCTTCCCTACCTACAATTAGCGTGTATCGCGTCGACACTCTAACGATCGAATAGCTTGTAAAGCTCTTTTTTTTTATAAGTATTTCGATGTCTCGAGTAAAATCATGTTTACCTTACCTATATCGTATAGGATCCGAAAAGAGCTTGCTTGAAAATAATTAATCGTTAGAGCGTCGACTCCTCTTGGATAGTGTGCCATGCGTCTTCCTCAAAGAAATACAATAATTAGGATGTAGACATCAGATATATAAGCTGACTAGGGTTTGTGCTACCTGCCGATTTTTGATTTATTTTTTGATTTTACTCTATGTGCATTCATAATGCGTTTTTTATAAACCAATCGAGACCAGTTTTTGTCGACGATGTGTGAGTATAAAAAAAAATGTGGCAGTAGGATAACGATGATATATGTTATTATCAAAGGGAGTATCTCATTCGGTTAAATTAAATATGTTAATATTATTGAAAGTTCGACGAACACTGGCACAATTCCTAGTGGTTTAAACGTGTTTGTTGTTAGGTAAATAATAAAATGAAAGGCAAAGTATGAAGGTGTGCTCTGTTTGTAATAAGACGAACCAGACTTATACCTGCGCAAAACTGAATTTCTTTTATCTAATAGAGAAAAAGATGATCGTATTATCGAATGTATATTAATTTACGTTATGTGTAAGCGGGAAAACTGTTAAGCCGAAGATTTGTACTTTATTATGCATGATATATATTATGCCCGTACATAAAATTAATTTGTTAGTTAATAAAGATGTTATTCGATTAAGGAACCAGCATGGATAGTTCTTTTTACGAGAAAATAAAGTCGCATCAATTTAATCGAATTTTATTCTTTTACGTAGATATCTCGTAGTAAATCTTCTTGGATTTTTACAAGTTTTATTTATTTCTTAAAATTTATTTTATATCATTATTATTTTTATTATAATCTTTTTTATATCGTTTCGCAGGCGTACCCATTAAGTGATGTAGGTAAGTATTATTTGATTTTTTCTTTTTTTTTAGCCCATCGCGATTATTACGTTGGGACAGGCGTCACGTGTATACGCGAAAGAAAATAAAAAAGAAGGAAATGGAAGACGTTTATTTTCATTTCATTTATTTCAACAATTTCATAATAACGTAATAATGGTAATAATATTACAATGCGGCGATTATGTGCTCACCAGTTAACAGGGATTCTCATATTGATCAACGTTTTTTTTCTGCCTCGAAAAAGAGCCCAGCATAGAAATATAACAAATGTTTTTCATTAATCTTGTTTGTCACCTTCAATATGAATTTACTATTGTTAGACTAGGCTATTGTCGAGGCATAATTAAAAGTCAAGTGAGATCGGGGTGAGTCAGTTCAATCGCATCATCCCACCAGGGTCCAAACGGGAAAAAAGTAGTGATGGTAGTAATAGTAGTAGTGGTAGTAGTAGTAGTAATAGTATTAGTAGTAGTAATAGTAGTAGTAGTAGTTAATAGTCATTCGTATTTTTGTTTTCTTTTCCTTTTTTCTCGTTCAGTTGAACTAACTATTTGGCGTTCTTCCTCCTCTAGAATTCTCGAAATACGCTCATTTTTTATTAAATGATTACACTTGTGGCATCATTGTAAACTCATTGACGACTGAGTAACGGTGGACAATATAGAAGACGATCTTTTTCTTTAAAGTATATAGGGAAATAATGTTATTAGGTATTAGAAGAGATAGATTGTGTCAATATATAATCGGTCTCTTTAATAGTCACGTGTCTTCGTGTGTTTGTGTGTGTATGTGTGTAAAATGTGTGTAAGAGTGTGTATATTTTTCTCAGCACTTCTTTCATTTAAAATTCATAGGTTAATTTAAGATAATTAGGTTTTTTCTTTTTTTTTTCTTTTTCTTTTTTTTAGTTTAGAGAGAAAGTGATTTCGATAAAGTTGACCCTAACTTCTAACAAATCTACCTTGAATCGCCCCTATAATTACTGTCAAAGTATTAACTACGTCTCTATTGATTACAGGCTAGCTTTAATATTCAGTTAATTGATTATTAATTTTTTTGGTTTATACGAATATGACCTTTAGCATTCAATAGTTTAAATATGTATAGATTATGTTTAATGATACACGTTTAATCATTCCAGTTTTCATTAAATTTAGCGATTATTCTCTCATTATCGTTTCTCCTTTTTTTGCCTTTTCTTCTATTTCTCTTTACCTTTCCCCTTTTATTCTTTCGTCTCTGAGACGTTCAGCTTTACATAACTTATTATATATATCTTTCCTTCGATAGATCAGATTTCGTTTTGCTGGATAACGGAGTTTCCGCATTTTGCACATAGTGAGCTAGCGTGATAGATCAAAAAACGAAAGGAACGAGAATTGCCTGTTGAAAAAATGATTACAACTTGTCTGCTTCGTTTTTCGTTTTATCTTCTTTTTTTCTTTTTTCTTTTTGTTCTTTTATCTTTTTAAATACCGCTTTTCGTTTACAAATAACTCCCTTTTGTAAAAATCGTTTTAAATTCAATTTATGGCTGTGACGTGTTTATTCGTTCGTTCGTTCGTTCGTTCGTTCGTTCGTTCGTTCGTTCGTTCGTTCGTTCGTTCGTTCGTTCGATCGTTCGTTCGTTCGTTCGTTCGTTCGTTCGTTCGTTCGTTCGTTCGTTCGTTCGTTCGTTCGTTCGTTCGTTCGTCCATTCGTTTGTTTTTCTTTTAATTACGCAAATTTTTATCTCGCTTTCTTTGTATACACATTTCTGCATCAAGACCAGAACCTTTCTCGATCGCGGTTATCCTAGAAAGAAGAGGACTGACACGGAATTTTATATTGCGAGCAAAGCGTAATTCGAGGCTGACAAGAAGATATTCCGATCTTTTTCTTGGTCGCGCTGCAGATGAACGGATCGAGCTCAACGCTAATTGGATTATTATTATTATCGATTATTTTAATCGCACGGAAAGTACACAGAAAGCAAATGAAAGTGAGCAGAAACGTGGAAGAAAATTGTGATGTGGAATAATTAATCGATAAGCAAGAAAGGAAAATGAACGTAACAAAGAAAAAAGAAAGAAGAAAGAAAAAAAATTCAACTTAATCGTTAGTATAAAAAAAATTCTTATTATAAACGGCCGTACGTTTTCCTTTCTCTCTTCCTTAGAAATACTTTATCGTACACTCTTCTCTTCATCCTCGTGTTTGGCTAGTTAACGTTTCTATGCGTTTTCGCGCATTCGTTTGAAGTAAGCTATAAAGATTTGGCACTTGAAAACTCGCGTCTCACCTAATCGGTTTAATTCTAATTATACTCGCT